CAGCTTGCCTCCAGAAGTTGTGAATGCCCCAACACTGGAAGTCTTTAAGAAGATGTTGGATAGCCATTTGTCTGAAATGGTATAGGGTTAGGGGAGGTGCTAAGGTGCATGCGCACGTTGTGCACGTCCATGTGGATGCCGCTGGGCCTGTTCCAACTATACCGGTTGGAACAGGATCCGGAACCACCACTGCGCCTCACCCCTTACCTGCTGATGATACGTTCTGTGCGCACCGAACGGTTAAGGATGCCTTGGCGGATCTTGCGGTTGAGTTGAAGGGCAAACCAAACATCTGAATTCTCCAAGGTCAGGTCCACGGGCAAATCCCCCTCCTTATTCCGTATTTCAGTGTCAGCGCCCCTTGATAGGAACAAGCTGTGCAAGGAAGAAGGATGTAGTAGATTAGAACAGGGGTCTCCAACTTCGGCAACTTTAAGACCTGCGGACTTCAACTCCCAGAGTTCCTCAGCCAGCTGGCTGAGGAATTCTGGGAGTTGAAGTCCACAAGTCTTAAAGTTGCCGAGGTTGGAGATCCGTTTGATTAGACATTACAATAGCCCTGAAAAAGGGACTTCAGACCATTTTTCACACTTATGACCATTGTCGCATCCCTGTGGTCATGTGACCAAAATTCAGAAGCTTGGCAACTCACTCATATTTATGAGGGTTGTAGTGTCCTTGGGTCCTTCTGACAAAGTCAGTGGGGAAGCCAGATTCATTTAACAACGGTATTACTAAGTTAACAGCTGGAGTGATTCACTTAACAACTGTGGCAAGAAAGGTCCTAACGTGCGGCAAAAATCATGGAACAAATGTCTTGCTTAACGACAGAAGTTTGGGGCTCAATTGTGGTCCCAAGTGAAGGACTATTTATACAGTTTGGCAATAAAGCAGAATTAGCTGATCTACATGTGATGCTTATCTGGCTTGCCCTGCGAGGCTTATCGGTTGCTTTTATATGGAAAACAGGGTATCTGTAGACAGAGGCCTTGCAACGGCTAATCCCTCCCCCCAGGTCTCGTGATACAGGATCCAAAACGGAAACTTGTCGGTTGTTGCTCAGCTCCGCCTGTTGCTTACAGGACACAATCGTGGTAGCTCTCCCGGGCCGCTATATGCAGAGGTGTGTCTCCGTGGAAATTGACGGCGTGGAGGTCACACTGGGCATTAAGTAAGACTTCGGCAATCTCCGCACTTCCTGTGAAGGAAGCCCAGTGCAAGCAGATGTTCTCTTCCTGGATGGAAGGAGAGGAAGGCATTAAGGAAGAGTGAAAGGCAACAGGCTGGGCATCCAAATGTCCGTTATGTCCCCTTGTGGATGCCAGTAAAGATGTTCAGACGCTCTCCTCTATCACTCTCTCTCAGCAGTTGCTGTCAGGCCTGCAGCCATCTTTTCTTCTGGACCTTTGGCCTGCCACACTTTCTATTATTCTGTTCTGCATTTTCTATTGTGGGAAAATGGGAGGGGGGAAGGTTGCACTGAGTTAAATGATATGTAGCCATAACAACATTCTTTCTAGAAAGCCAAGGTCATCCTTTGTGTCTGCATCTCTGCGCCAGAGTGGAACTGGATGGGTGGAACTGGCAGCCTGGCAGTGGGAGATTGGACCATGTGATGGACTTGTGGGTGTGGGGACAAGATCTTGAACTTTCAACTAGGTGGGGAAAACCGGGAAGTTTTCAGATTCGGGTTTTCCCAGATGTGCCAACATGGCTCTCTTAATAAATTGGACCTTTGAGCAATACTTTGCCTTGGACTCTGATTTACTTTTGGATGCTATTTGGAACCCTGACAGTTGCCATAGGAGGGACCCCAAAAGTCAAGATGGCAACCCTGACCAGCAGGCCCAAAGCCTGAATGTCCATCAACGCTGTATGCATGTACAAAAAAACGAGACTTCAATGGCACTGCCCCATCTACCATGTGACTCGTTTTACTCACTTTGCCCCTTAGCAGTGTCACTTACCTAATTGCAAGGATTTTCTTTTATGCAAGGGCCCAGCAGCAATGGGGTGGCCTAAACCCGAGGTCTCATAGCACTTAGGCTTATATACCGCTTCACAGTGCTTTACACTCCCTCTCTAAGCGCTTAACAGAATCAGCATATTGCCTCCAACAATCTGGGTCCTCATTTTACCGACCTCAGAAGTTGGAACACAATTTTGGTGTCAGCCTACATCTTCATTTGCTGTCTGCTGCCATGGAAACGATGGGAGCAGGAGCAATGGGCACTTGGACAGGGGTGGTGGTGGCGGGAACGTGCAGGAGGTGAAAGTGGAAATTTGCCAGCAGCAATGGAACTACCAGCTTGGATTTTGTTTACCATCCCCAAGGCCAACTGTCCTAGCTTTGGAATGCAGAAGGGAGGAACAGCATACCTGAATCAGAGACTTTCCCAAAACATCTTCTTGGCCGATGATTGGACTCTGGTTGCCTAGTTACAAAGGGTGGGGGGCTCTAAAGTTTGTTTCAGTTTGTTGTTTCACATGTTTTTGCTTCAGATCGTGTCTGACTTAGCTGTATTCTGTTCTTTACAAGTAAAGTATCTTTTCTCTATTTTTAAGGGAGTCGAGGGTTTTTCTTCCTAGGGATTGAATAGAGGCAGACCTGACACTTTAAGTGTCAACTTTAAGACTTGTTGGACCAACTGTGGCTGGCTGGGGAATTCTGGGAGTTGAAGTCCACAAGTCTTAAAGTTGCCAAGGTTGGAGATCCCGGGACGAATCAACCTTGTCCATTCTGTTATGTGGATAAATCTAACCAGAGATTTCCACTCCTCCCCCCGGGATGCTCCCCCAGAAAACCCAAACTCACGTACGTTGTCAGTCAAGGTGACATCAGCTCCTCGGGTAAGCAACATACGGATCACCTCAATGTGTTTGTGCTCGGCAGCCCAAATAATGGGGGTCCAACCTCCATTATCCTAAGCAAAAAACAAGAAGAACAAGCATTGTGTGAAGGCCAACAATCTGACTATTATAACACCTGGGAATTATTTTATCAATGATTAGAGAATAAATTGAAAAGTGGAAAAAAGCAGAGAAATGAAATAAGAAAATGTTTTAATAAAGTTAAATAAGTTGAGAGGATTGTTATAGTATTAGGTACAGTATATATTAGTATTAAGTTAAGAATAGATAAAATAATAAATATTCCTTGGTTACAATGTAAAGTAGAGAGCATACAGCTTGTGTAACAGTGTAAATGTGCTGTCGTCTCAAAATAACGCAACACACAGCCATTAATGTCTAAACTGGTGGCAAGATATACTTAAATATTTACAAAATGTGAGGGGGTGTACTCACTTCTGTGATACACTGTAGCTGTAAACTGTAATTGTTATTGCATAAAATATTTGCATAAAATATATGTACCCAGACGACAGACTGTTTAATGGAAGATGATGTTTGAATTAAAAAAAAAACATTGTGTTAAGGCCCAGGGAGAGCTGGGTGAAGCTGGTAGCCACTGTCAGCAACCGAGGAAAACAGCTTCCCCACTTACCTGGGCGTTGACGTCCACCTGTCCTGTGGAAAGGAGCAAGCTGACCATCTCCACATTTCCATTCTTGGCAGCATGATGAAGACAGGTAGATCCATCATCCTCCTTTTGGCAGTAACATCAGGGAGAATGAAATAGCATTAATTTAAGTTGCACGTAGGCACTTCCTCTCTCCGTAGTGATTCCCTCCCTACTTTTATCATTCTCATAAAACACTGATGGAATCCTGAACTCTAGTCCCACAAGAAGTGGCTTCACGCTTTGGATTTATGAACTACACTAATCTTTATGTGATTCTGATTTTTTTTTTTTTGGCTTTATCTCAGGGTCTTTGATAATAAGCCCAGTCAATATGGTTTGTACCAGCCCATTCTGACAGGCTCAACAAACCATATGTCAACTCCTAAAGTTGCCCTAGGGAGGAAAGGGGGGGGAGTGCATTCCATACATACTTTCGGCTACTTGGATCTCAGAGCAGATTTGGGAGGGATGCACCTCACTGCAGAATGTGATTTATGACACAGACAGAGGGAAGGGAAGGAACAGGGGTAAAGTTCAGCTATATTGCAAATAAGGCTAAGATCTGACTGCACAAAAAAGGCATTGTCAAAATGCTCCTAATAAATGACTGGTTTTCTTTTGAAATTTGACTCGAGGCTCAAGAATCAATTAGAGTATTTTTGGGAAACCTGACACCATGGTTGAAACAAACCCAGGGTAATATAAAGGTTTAACCCTGTCACTGAATAATTCTATTAAATCAGATGGAATAGCATTGTTAATCCAGGTTGTTGGAAATGTGTGGTCTGCTTTGGAAAAGGTAGCATTTTATGGAGCAATATATCTTACGATGGCAGAAATCAATCCTGTGATACCTTACAATAATATATCACATTGTTTATTTCAGTATTTCTCATATCTTGGCAACTTTAGGATGCATGGACTCCAATTCCCATACTCACCAGGGAATTCTGTGAGTTGAAATCTGCACATCTTAAAGTTGCCAAGGCTGAGAAATATAGAGGTTACAGTGGTGAACTAGTGACTATTGATTAAAAATATAAGATAGTTTTTTTTAAAAAATTTCCTTTCTTAGTTTCTATGTTTGATTTTCTTAAGATGAAATACTGTTTTGTTACCCAAAACGATTTTTTTAAAGAAGCATTTCTGAGGCTGAATGTCACGTTTTTGAGGAAAAATTATTTCAATCGAGAGCAAGCCAATTAACACACATATATTTGCTTCTCTACCAAAATATGATTTTTCTCAAACATAACACACGGTGCAAAGAAATGATACCACCAGTTACTTCGTATATATTATGTTGAATAGTCTTGCCTTTTTAAAAGCAGCAAGACAACATAGAAATGAAATTATGGCGTACCAAAACAATTGAACACATGCAATTTCTTTTTGTCACACATCAATTAAGGGCACAGGACTGTTCCAGAAGAAAAAAGTTGCACTGACTCCCTTTAATAAAATATCCCCCACCTCACCCCATTCCACTCCCTTCCACACAGCTCTCCTTCCACCAAAAGATCATTTAAAAAATCATTTATCTCCTCACCTTTGTGTACACACAGCCACCCCTCTTGACCAAGTAACGTGCTAGTTCCACATGGTTGTTCGCAACCGCTTCCATTAAAGGGGTTCTACGCAACTTGTCCACCGTATTTATGTTGGCTCCAGCCTGCCAGAGAAAACATTAATGATTTATTACTAATTGATTTGTTGACGCGTTTAACTAGTATATAGGTAATCCAGTGCTTATACTTAGGACAACAAAAGTTTTCAATGCGAAACTAATTAAGGTTCGGTCAGTTTCAGCAGCAGTTGATTAGGTCTAATCAACTAATTAAGGCCCCAGAGCAGAGCTTGTTAATTAGCACATTTTAGGAAAGGGCTATGGACCGTATACCTTTTTCAACTCAAAAAAGTTGGTGAAAGATGCTTATTTACTTCTGGCTCAGGGGTTGATGTTGACACTCTTGTTAGGAATATAATCTAACGGTTGGGTTGGCAATATATAAATCATGTAACAATGTTGTATCTGTTTCTTTAAATCATACTGTAAAATGTGATTGGTTGCTGTTTTCCTCAATCGGCCATAAGAGGGAGCCAGAATGTCTGTTAGCTCTGTTTTGTTAGATGCTGGGCTGAACTGATCTGAGTGCTGTGAGCTACTGTAAGTTTTGCAACTGTTAGCAAACTTTGTGTCCTGAACTGGTTACATGATACTGGACTATGTTATTTGGATTAACCCTTAACTGAAAGACATTGATGACTGACTGTCTTATCCGTGTATGACTTGGACTGTTTGATGGACTCTGATACCTCTATTTCCACGAAGGTAAAAGCCTATTTAAACTGCAGTGTCTCTGTATGCTGGTTTGTGTGTTCTCCAACACAACTCTCACAACGCTTCTCTGAACGCACTCGCTCTCCCAACGGGGAGCTTATCTAACAACTCTAAAAGTCAAGCCCAGGACATATTAAGGAAAAAAGAAAACTCAGTAGAACCCAAAGGCCCAGGTTTACACACACACACACACACACACACACACACCTGCAGCAAAACATGACAGATTTCCATGTAGCCCTTCTGTGCTGCAGCATGCAGTGGGAAACGCTTGCTTTGTTGCTCGGTCTGGAAATTGGGGTCTAAGCTGTCTACTGAGTGGGGGGGAAAAAAAGAGAGAGAGAAGATAAGTGACAATGAAAAAGAAAAGAGAACAAACACTTGTCCCAATTGCTAGATTCATGAAAAATAAAATGATAACCTTTAACCCCATAAGGAAACACTGAAAAAAATATCTCTCTTTCACAAACTCTTGACATCTGGCCAGGGAATTCTGGGAGTTTAAGTCCAGATATCTTAAAGTTGCTAAGGTTAGAAAAACACTTATAGAGGAAACTCAATAGAATCCCCTTATTCCTATTACGCAGGGTTGTCAAACGGAAGGCCCGGGGGCCGGGGCCGGCTTGCAGAATGCTTGAGCCACCCGGGAAACAGTAAGGAACCAGCCCGGGGTGCCTCTGCCAGCGAAAACAGAGCTCGGGAGCCCATTTTCGCTGGCAGAATGCTCAGGTCACCACCAGCTCCCTAGACAGAAGTGATATTGAGCTGGCCACGCCCACCCTGGTCACACACTCCCAGCCCCCCCCCTCCCCGAGGTCAAACACAACCCTGATGCGGCCCTCAATGAAATCAAGTTTGACACCCCTTCTATTACTGGTCTCCGCATTCCCCATTCCAGCAGGGAAGTCACAACTTACACAACATCAGGACCACTTTCTGCAGTTCCCCTTGCTTAACGGAGAGATAGAGCTGACGCGGATGGAATCGCAGTTTCTTGCGCCTGGGAGTGATAGAGGAGAGAGGGATCAAAGAGAGTAAGGCAAATGAAGTTTGGAGAGGAAGGCAAACTGTGGGAGGCGAGAGGCAGGGCCGAAAGGGGAACTTTATTAAGTCTGTCATCTGCACCTCCATAACTGTCTGGTTTGGTTCTGCAACTGAACAAGGCAAACATAGACTTCAACGGATAATTAGAAATGCAGAAAAAACAATTACTGCCAACCTGCCTTCCATTGAGGACCTGTACACTGTACGAGTCAAAAAGAGGGCCGTGGAAATATCTACAGATCCCTCACATCCTGGACATAAATGGTTTCAACTTCTACCCTCAAAACAACTTAATAGGGCACTGCACACCAGAACAACTAGACACAAGGAGAGCTTTTTCCCTGAATGCCATCACTCTGCTTAACAACTAATTCCCACAACACTGTCAATAATTTACCAAGAATGTATTACTATTATTCTTCCCTTCCTTCCTTCTATCTATCTCTCCCCACTTACGACTATAACCATGTTGT